AGGTTTTAATCGATGTCAGTAATACAGATAACTGTAAGCAAAAAATTTATCAAATCAAGTACCTAGGTCTTGGAAACAACCCAGATATTTTAAATTAACTGTCAAAAACTACAGGGCCTACTTTGAAACGTTAAATTGCGTTAGGGTTACTACATTTTTCGACTAGGGTTGCAACGTTTTAAATTTTTCTTCCAAAACCTAATAATTTTGTGAATTTTAACAAATCCTTTGCTAAAACCAGTTCAGAAAAAAATGTGTTTCTATCTCTTTTTTATACAAACTAGTGAAAAAAGACACGAATACACTCAGTGCTCACTAATGCCGTTGAAAATAATGCAAATTGAACAAAACAATTAAGCAAAAATAGAGCTTCAAAAGACGTAATTTTATTGAAAAAAATCGTAAGTTTGACAGCAACACTTCGTAAGCCCATAGGGACGGGGTCTTTTTAATTTACAAGCCAAAAGGGCCGGGGTCTACTTAAGTTACGAGCCCAGAGGACCGGGGTCTTTTTAAATTACGAGTCCGTAGGAGCGAGGGTTTTTATGTGTGGTCACCTTCATCGTGTGTACCTGGTTTTTCAGTCTCAATTTTTCAGGACTTTTTTCATTTTCTGAATTGAGTAGGGGAGGAAACTCCAATTAGTTGAATCTTTGTTGATTGCCGGAAAACATTAAATATTTGGGTTTGACAGTATTTAGATGACATTGTGGCCCATAGACAAAATGTCGGATTAGAAATTCGATAACGCCATATGGTGCAGGAGAAAATGTGGCTCATAGTTGCCACATTTTGCACAATATCTTAAGAAGCTCAACAATTGGATATTGTTTTGAGAATCAAATGATTGCTTAGAGGAAATCAGGTAATCAATTGAGAATGATGTAGCAATCCCCAAAAAAATGCAAATCACCTGGTAAAATATTTAACAATCATAAGTAACTAGTTGTAATTCTTGGGAATACATGGGATTTATTGATCAGTGATTGTAGTAAAATTCAACTTTGAGACTCAAGTGATCAAAAAGTATTTGAGCTACCAAATTCAATTTGGCACAGAATTATAGAAATTTTAATGCTCTTTTCAATGATATACTATATGTTTTAGTTTGCTCAAATTTCAATGAAGATATGAGCAATTGTTCATGAACATGCCAGGATTTTTTTTTTCAAATTTAGATCCAAAAAATCTTTCTTTAAAATTGTCATTTTGAAATAATGTTAGATTTTTTTTCGATTAACTTAGACCCGCTCTATCGATTGGAAAAGTTAAAATTACGAAAATCTGAAAAATGAAAATTTTGAGTTTTTAAATTTTTTTCAAAGGATTTGGATTTTTATTTCAAAATTTTCAAATTTAATTTTCTCAGAACCCGTCAGAGATTTTGGATCAAATTTTTTTTGAAATTGTAGCTCGTAATAAGGGCTTCAAAATGGTACTCAGTTAAAGTCGCTGGCATTTACGGTTTTTGAGAAAATCGAGTTTGAAGTTTTTGATTAAATTTCGAGTAATAAACTTTGAGGCTCAATTGTGCGAAAACTATTTGAGTTATGAAACTCAATCTAGCAGTGATTTATAGAGAATTCAATGCTCTTTCCAACCATATATAGTTTATTCTGGTTTGCGCAAATTTTAATGGAGTTATTGGCAATTGCTCCTAACTTTTATGGGATTCAAAAAAAATTTAAACCTAAAAATTTAGATTGTCTTTTTAATTTTTCTCTGTATTGAAATCAAGATTTTATAATGATGTTAGAGTTTTTTTCGACTAATTTGAACTCGCTCTATCGATCTATATCAAAATTGCAAAAATCTGAAAAATGAAAATTTTCAGTTTTTTTATTTTTTTCCGCTTTGAATTTTTTTTTCAAAATGTTCAAACTCAATTTTTTCGAAACCCGTCAAAGATTTTAGATCAATTTTTTTTGAGATTGTAGCCTTTGATGAGGGCTTTGAAATGGTACTTGGTTGAAATCGTTGGTACTTACGGTTTTTGAAAAAATTTAGTTTGAAGTTTTTGATACTTTTTCGACTAAAATTCAACTTTGAGGTGTAATTGCTCGGAAAGTATTTGAGCTACGGAGCTCAATCTTGCATTGATTTATAGGATATTTAATGCTCTTTCCAACAATATAAAATTTGGAAATATTGACAATTGCTCCTAACTTTGTTAGGATTTTAAAAAAAATTAAACCTGAAAATTGAGATTTTCTTTTTGATTTTTTTTCTCTTTTGAAATCGAGATTTAGAAATGAAGTTAGAGTTTTTTTTTCGTCAAAGATTTTGGATCAATTTTTTTTGAGATTGTAGCCCTTGATGAGGGCTTTAAAATGGTACTTGGTTGAAGTCGCTGGCATTTACGGTTTTTGAGAAAATCGAGTTTGAAGTTTTTGACTAAATTTCAACTAAAATCCAACTTTGAGGCTCAATTGCTCTAAAAGTATTTGAGTTATCAAACTCAATCTAGCACTGATTTATAGAGAATTTGATGCTTTTTCCAACCATATATAATTTATTTTCATTTGCTCAAAATTTTATAGAAGTATTGGCAATTGCTCCTAACCTTGTCAGGATTCAAAAAAAATTTTAACCTAAAAATTGAGATTTTCTTTTTAATTTTTCTCTGTGTTGAAATCAAGATTTTGTAATGATGTTAGAGTTTTTTTCGATTAATTTAGACTCGCTCTATCGATCGGAAACGTCAAAATTCAATAAATATGAACAATAAAAATTTCGAATTTTTCAAAGGGTTACACCTTTAGATTTTTATTTCAAAATATTTGATCTTGGATATCTTAAAATCTATTAAAGATTTTGAATTAAAATTTTCAGGAAATGTAACTCTTAACAGGGGCTTTAAAATGGTATTTAGTTAAAATCGCTAGCTCTTATGGTTTTCGAGAAAATCGAGTTTGAAATTTTTGATAAAATTTTGACTAAAAGTTTACTTTGAGATCCAATTGCCCAGAAAGTATTCGAGTTATCAAAACCAATTTAGCATGGATTTATAGAGAATTTAATGCTCTTTCCAACCATATATAATTTGTTTTGATTTGTTCAAATTTATTTGAAGATATTGGCCATTATTCCTAACCTTGTCAAGATTTGAAAAAAATTCCAAAACGAAAATTGAGATTTTTTAGCTTTTTGAAATTGCCATTTTGAAAGTGATGTTAGAATTTTTTTCGATTAATTTTAACCTGCTGAATCAATTGGAAAAGTCAAAATTTCGAAAATATGAAAAATAAAAATTTCGAGTTTTCGATTGGTTTGACTGAAACCCCCCATAAGCAACGCCACTGGCCAAACAAAATACATGTTGCCAACTTGAAAAATAACTGGCCAATAGCAACAAGAGCCTGGAATAAACAGAAATTGAAATATAGAAAGGGAAACATATATAAATATATCAAAAGAACAAATACAAATTTATATAAAAATCAAAGGACCTCACACACCACTTATACGGGTATTTGGTTTTCTGTCAAACAAATGAAATTTGTATGTTAATAAAGTAAAATTTTAATACATTACGAGGGATGTTTATAAAGTGTATGCCATTGTTAAAAATATTCAAAATTGATGAAATTTCAAAATCACCAGAAATTGCCATTTTTCAAAAAGTTTTTCACCAATCAGCAGATTTTTCATAAAATCACCAGATCTGGTGAAATCATGAAGGTAATTTGGGGCACCGTTTTCGAGTAATCGATTTTAAAGGTTTTCCAAAATTTGAGACAAAGTTTTAAGTTTAAGGCTTAATATCTCGAAAACTCAATTATTATAGAGTTTCAAATGAACCAATACGGAAATTTGGTGCACCTTAGCTCACTGTATATGCTTCGCATAATCTAGCCTATCCCAAAACTGTGATTTTGACAGAAACGAAAATGAAATACTCTAAAAACTATTAAAAAAATAAATAAAGACTCTATCAAAAAACCGTAAAAACAAAAATAAACCGATCTCCGCGTGGGTATATTGGCAATATGTTATTTTTGGCGGCGACCCATTAAAAAAACACACCTACAACGTCCCGAATACCAAAAAAAAAAATACATAAATCCTTAAAAATAGAAGACCACGCTGAGCTTTAAATCACTTATGGCACTTCCTTGCCAAAAATGTTCGCTTTATGAATTTATTGACAACAATGCAATACAATGTTTATACTACAAACCATCCAAACAAACTGAAGGATTCAAAAAGTACATACCTGAAATGTCAACTATTAGGTACGACGTTTTGATTTGCCAGTCAATGAAATAAGTTGGGCACAAGAATCTGGACACATTTTAGCATTTAAAACTCATAACTGGTTAACTACAATTGATTCCAGTTATTCACCACAAGAATTCCTGCAGCTGCAGCGCACAAAGACGAAGAAAAAAACATCGATTTAAAAAAAAGCCTATTTAAAAAACAAATTAACAACTTTAATTTGGAGACGGTCAGACACGCTCTCAGTTCATTATCGAATTGTTTACCAAACGCTTTAGTGCACATTCCCAGAATCATTATAGTAGCATCTTCAAATAAAACGTCTTTTCTTGGCTCATCGCTTTGGCCGGTAATTGAGGCGTTCTCTTAGAATTCTAGTATACGTGGATTTTTTTTTTAATCGTTGGGATTTTTCATGTTTTATCGCCATGTAATGGTGAAGTATCGTTATCTGTTTGGACTTTTTGGTATTTTAAAAATCACCATCATCACCTAAGTAATAGATATTGGTTAAGTTATGTTATTAAAAGACTAAATTAATGGTCCATTTGATAAAGGGGAATTAGGAACAGGTTCAGAACTACAAGTTCTTCAAGAGCAAATCTGCAAATTCCACATTATTGAGTCAATGGAGATGGTAGGCAAGACGATGATAGAGGTGCAAACGACTATCAAGGAGCAAGTTAAGGATATCGTGGATGTGATTTTGAATATAAAGCTCCAAAAGATCACCCACAACAGAACTTCAAGGTTTTATCTCTGAGACTGAAATATCTTACATAGCACAAATCTTGGACAGGTGGTTTCATCTCCTTTGAATCACCAAACAACAAATATTTCTGGATAAAAATATTCAGAGAGACTGGATGGACATAGAAACTTGTGTCGTTCATAGCCATACTAGAAGAACAAGGTTACAACAATGATGAAATATGGGAATTTGAAATTCCCTTTCATGCTGTCTGTATTTGGTTTTCGTGATACTATTAGCTTCAAAACAACATTCAAACAAAACGCAGTTATAAAGCAAAATCCCTCGGTTATTGTTTTTAAGGGAATCACCTATTAGAAGAGAATCTATCTTTTCCAACAAACACACATACTGTGCGTTTATTTACGATAAATTCCCGGCATGTAGCCGACCACTTAGCAACGCATAGAGAGGAACAGAGAGAAGCAGATAGCACTAAAATTTTATCATCAATTAACACTGACGGTAGTAAATTTAATCATGGTAAGTGTAATGAATTAAAAATAGATAAACGCCGATACTATATTATGTACGAGCTGATCGTTTAAAAAGAAAAAAAACTGATTTTAATATTCAATTAGTTTTTCGAACACGCAGTCATTAAACTAAACCGTCAAGAACATTGAAACACGCCCCTACAATTATTCCATTTATACCTGAACCTCAATTGATAATATCAAAAGAATTCGAGCCGGGTTGCCGGGCCGGGGCCAAAGAAGAAAATGCCAATCTTCACCATTAAATCGTCGTCGTCTGTTCGGACCAAACAACAGTCATCTTTTAGTTTTAAAGGCCTCTTCTGAAACTGGATTGCCTATCTTCGTATAAAATTCCTGCGCGTCATTATACGGTTTCTAAGAAAAAAAGTGGACGGCGGCACTCTGTGGAATTTTTGAAACAACAAGGGACCATTCTTCTTTTTCGAGATCGGATCATCTATCGGGGAACTGATGATGTTTATTGTCTGATGTATTCATTTTAATAGTACATTTTGGTGTTTGACATTATATTTGTAATTAAGGAAAAATAATGGAATAGTGAGAAATTTCTAAAAAATTACTTCAGGAGCTTGTTCAGGGTGCTACTAGTTCACAATAGTAAAAAGATAAAAATAAACCGATGAGACTATTGTATTGAGTCGGTTACTATCCTAGCACTATTAAAATGTCTATTTATACATATATTAATTGGTATAGTGCACAGTGCACAAATCATCTTGTCCATTCAGCCATTTCACTGTCTAGTCTGTTTTTAAATAGGTTGACTGAAGATGCATTTATAGTGTCCCAACTGAGTCGATTCCAATAATAAACTAATCGATGGGACGACAAATTTCTACGCAAAAGCCTGGCACATCTCTTCTTACAGAGTTTCTTGTTAGGATCCCCACGTGTTCGTCTCTCATAAAGTGTAGGGAGGTTCAGCGTCTGCAGCATTTGTTGGTATGGAAGGTCACCAAGAGCTGGGGCAATTTTTGTTGCTCCGAGTTGGACTTTCTCAAGTGCTTCAATGTCCTTGACATAATAAAAACTCCATATGCTTTGGGTATACTCCAGCCTGGGTCTTATGTAAGCCTTGTACAGCTTTACAAATAGTTGGTGAGTGGGATTTTTAAATGCCTTGAAAATCAGGTAAGTACATCATCAAGTTTGACTTCTTATGTATGATGCCATTGGTATGGGGTTTCCCACTTAATGTTTTCAATTTTTTTCAATTTCCAAATGATTTTCAATTATAACAACTCCTTCAAACAGGAATACGAATCCCATTTTTCCAAAGTGGATGGATGTTACTTTAAAGGAACTAATCTTACAAAAAAGACACACACAAAAACTTTAAGCAAACATCTTCCTTGGAGTATTACCATAGATTCTCACAGCTACGTGTGCAGTGCGAACAATATGCCCCCATCAGCCATCAAAACTACTTGAATTGCATAGAGGATATGGTCCAAGATAAAAATAGGGTGCGGTTCGGAGTTACATAAGATCTAAAAAAGATTCCAAAGGTTTTCCCAGCTGTATGACTTTATAAAAGCTCCGTATATAAGGTATCTGATGATTCAAACCATTTCAGTAAGTGTTGTGATATTACCGTTAATTTAGGTTTTCTTTCCATTAATGTCATGGATATACATAATAAGATTTCCCAGCTGAAGGATGACTTAGAGACAGGTCCAGATGGTATCCCTGTTTCTGTCATTGAAAAGCATATATACTTGTTCTCTTACATCCTGTGTGAAATCTACAATAGATCATTGTCCACAGGAATTTTTCCAACGGTTTGGAAGACTGGCTTTGTAACCCCAATTTTTGAGAGTGGTTACAATTACAGCATTGAGAATTACAGGCCAATTTAAAAAAAAAATTTTTATTGATAACCTATTTTACTTATTTAAAGTACTCCTCAGCGTGTTTAAATCCAACATTCAAAAACGCGCGTGTTTTAATAAAGTTACCATGACAAAATCAACAACCCCAGAAAGGTAAAGTCTAAATGTCAACTTTTTAATTATTGATTTGTCAGACAACAAAAGGTATGCCAGATGTCATATCACGAATTTAGCATTCTACAACTATTAAGGGCGGGTATTATAAAACTGCTTTGACAGTTAACTTGAAGTTAACTTTTTGAATTACATGGTAATTCCAGAAGTTAACTTTAAATTAACTCTCAAAGTAGTTTTATAATACCCGCCCTTAGTAATTTACGATTTGAACGTATAGGTACCAATAAAAAAAAATAGTGTAAAGTATTCGTGGATAACTGGTCTTTAAAACACTTGCTCTATGCGCCGTCGTGCTCGAAAAATCGCGCGTGTTTTAAAGACCTTAATATCTACTTATACTTTAATATACTAATATTTATATTTATTTATAGATTTTTGTGTCAATAGTTATAGATAAATTAACACCTCTATTCAAGAATATAATTATACCAGAATAACATCGGTTCATGGTTCATGAAAGGCAAATCCCCAGTCACCAACTTGTTGGAGTTTGAGCAAGCTCTGTTTGATGCAGGTGGACGTGGTATATACCGACTTCTCCAACGCGTTTGACACGGTCGACCATGAAATTCTGGAGAAAAGCTGGAGAGTATGGGGTTCCATGGATCATTTTTGAGATGGGTGATTTACCATCTTTCGGGAAGAAAAAAGAGAGTGAAGATAGAAAACTCAGTCTCATAAGAGATTAACATCATTTGCTTCGCAGGATGGGTATCTATCCCTTCTCCTTTTTAATCTTTTCTTCAATGACGTTAAGAATGTTTTTAAACACTGTGAATTTCTCAATTTTGCTGATGATATGGAAGTCTTTATCACTATAAAAAATATCCATGACTGTGAAATCTTGCAAGGGGAACTCAACAATTTCTTCAGCTGGTGTGAAGACAATCATTTGGCACTAAACGTTGATAAGTGCAAAGTGATGTCTTCTCATAGGCCTATTGCACCGATTATTTTTAACTACTCGGTAAATCGAACCGAACTTGATAGGGTTTATGTTATTATAGATCTTGGCGTATTTCTAGATATCGAATTGAATTTTTCTGAACATATTGAAAAAATATCCAATAAAGCCATGCGGTTATTGGGATTTGTGGAATGCTTATTCAGCTATAGTTCGCCAAATTCTGGAGTATGCAGGTCTTGTTCGCTAGGTGGTTGTTCACTGTTTGATGGCATCTATATCCCCCTGAAGGCTTTTATTCTGCGTTACAGGATTACTATAACAACAGGTATCATCCGATGACGACATCTGACTCCTAAGTCCATTTGGCAGGTCACTAATATATACAAGGAAGAGTAAAGGGCCAGAAACTGAGACTTTGGGGAAACCACTAAAAACTTCGACTTCATGGACCCTATCCTCCTGAAGAAGAAGTCGTCTCTTATACCATAGTGACGGAGTTTATGAAGGAACCGCCCAAAATTCAAGTAAAATATTTCAATATACCGGCCAGTCATCTGCCCTCGTCCAGTCATGAACCTTGGTAAGCAGATTCGTAAAAATGAACTTTCCAAGAAGGAACACGTTGTGGGATGATTTCATTTTCGAGCAAAAATCCAGTCAACTCAGATTTTAGGACTTTCTCGAAGGGTGCTTATTAAGCTAATTAATGATGGGCCTATAGTTTTCAGACAGGTCTTTGTTGCCTTCCTTGTAAATAAGCATTACAATTCCATTCCCTTGTAGTTTGCCCTGCCTAAGAAGATTATTCATTTTGGTTGAGAGGGTATGTGATAGAACTGCAGCACACTTGTTCTCAGGAAAATGTCAAGGATTTCATAATCTCCTGGACTAGAATCTGGCTTCAGTGATTTGATTGCAGTTTCCAATTTCTCGAGTGTGAAAGTGAGTTAGTACCGAATGTATATGGGCATATGGCCTAGATCTTCTCTTGCAAAAAAACTCTGAAACTGTTTGGCAACTTATTTCTCATCATTAAGGATGTAGTTAGTGGTTACATCCCTCTAAGTGAGCAATGTGTAAGTCTTACACCAACAGATCTGCTTATGTAGGAATAGATCTGCTTATAAAAAGAGGCTAGCTAGTTCATGTTTCCTTCTAGAAGACTGTTTTTTATCTTAGCTTTGAGGAAGTTATTTTGGTTTCTGTAGTTCAAGTTGCCATTTCAATTTCTTGTGCCACAAATTTCTCTTTTTTCTAATTTGTTTAAATTAGCTAAGGCTTCGCTGGGCTTGAAAATCTTCAGTTTTATAAATTTTATTTGTTGGTTTTGGAGTCTGAATTTGGGATTTGGCTGTTATGACTACATGGCCACTTAGTCCAATTGGTATATGCTGTGATACATCAAAATCAAGCCTCTTGTCACTGACTAATACCTGATCAAGTAGAGACTGTTGATTTCTCCTATTCTGATTGGAAAATTCACACGTTGAAAGGCTTGGATTAATGAGATTGACTGTTAATGTTTTCCAGTTGATCTCTGTATAGTTGAAAACTTCAAAAATGAAAGTAGATATATCCAGTGTTGCATGCTTGTTCTATAACCTTTATAAATTTCAGTTTGTCTTCTACATTGGTTTGCAGTTTAGGCCGATACATTTATGCATGAAACAACCATAGGCTGCTATAGCTTTGAAATATATGGGGCTCATTGCAGACCGAACATGGTGGCCCAG